ATTTTTTTTCTTATTTAAGTTGCCAATTTTATTTTTGATCACAAACACTTAAACGTTATAAATTTATTCAAATATTTGATTGGAAAATTCCTAAAGTAAGAAAATATTTTGCTGTTTATGGTAGAAAGTAAATTAAAATCAACTACAAAATAGCAACGCACTTGTGTGCTTTCCTTTTTGATAAGGCATCCTGTCCATGAAGCCTTATATTTTTGTTTCAAAAAAAATATATTTCTCCATTTCTTGTTTAAAGCTTTATTCCTGTTTTTTACAAAATAATTTTCAAATGACCAAAACTTAATAATATATTTTTACTACACAATCTATCTACTTCACAATAATCTTTTATGGTTTGAACGAATGATATATGTTCTACGTAACTATAACGAAAAAAGATTATGATAATTACACATATAGTGAAAAAGTTTCTTTCATTATGAAACATGAATAGCATAATTTTGATCGAAAACTTGATGAAAATGGAATAAATAATTCTTTATTTGCATTTTTAGTAAATAAAAGCTGGAAAGCACTAATAAGTAGCAATTTTTGTTTCCATGAAAAAAAAATTATAAAATAAAAACTGTAAATGTCGACTGCATTCAAAAAGAAAAGAAAAAATATACAAATTTCATCTAAAAAATGATTTAAAAAATGATTGTCTAAAATTATTTTATGTTTAAGAATTTTCCAATCAAATATTTGAATTAATTAATAACATATAAGTTTTTGCGATCAAAAAATATATTGGCAAGTTAAATAAGAAAGTAAATTATCTGAGCATAAATTTTTAATGATTTCAATTCTGAAATCTCAAAATAATTTGTCATCAAATTATTTGTGATAATTTTTTATGCAGTGCGAAAATACCAGGAATATTTTTGGAATTCATTACAATTACTAAATTAAAACGTAGAAACTGAAATTAGCTCACGTAAAAATTAATCATTTAGAGTATTTTGATTCTGATATAAACATCTTATATTATACAAATTATTCAATAATGATTAGACAAATTACTTTATACCAAAACTTAAAGCGAAAATATTGCAAATTTTTTTGATTTAATATGTGCATACGATAAAAGTCAATTGATTGCTCAAAAGATCAAAAAACTGTGAGAAATGATTTGATGTTAAAATTTAAGTTGTTTTAAACAACTAAAAATAAAAAAGTTTTTTATTTCAAATTTTTTGATTTTATTCCAGGATTCAGTGAAGAAACGATTTATTTGCATTATAAAAAAATATCGGAAAGAAATATAAAGTGAAATAGAAAGATAAAATCGAGTAGACAAATGACCTTATCAATTGTATATATTGTTTCTGATTAAAGATAAGAATGATAAATGAAAAGATAAGCAGAATTACAATTAATGAGTTGTGATGAACTATTTGATAAAAAAATTTGAAGAAAAACATTCTGAACAATATCAATAAAAAAAGTGAACTTGTATCAAACAGTGTACCTAACAATGAATTAAGTATATTTTGCATGAAAACTTGACATCAACATCACACAAATACAATGAACTCCGATCAAATTGTGTTCACTCAAATAACTTATACAACAATAAATATTATGAACTGAGAAACATATAAATCTGTTTCACTTTAAAACTGCATTTTAATAATTAACTTTGAGCTAAATTTTTAAAGTTTTCAAGTACCATAATTTTAAAAAAGCACTTTTATTTTTTCTAATACAAGGCAGTTTTTTAAAACTTCCTAATCTCATACTCTTCTAATACTTGAATTTGAAGTGAAAAAAAAACCAGTTTTAGCTGAGAAATTACTTTACTGCAGTAATCATTCATATTTTCCCTCAAAAAAGAACAGAATAATGAAAATAAGTAAAATTGTATCTCATACTGAAATAACTTTTCTAAAAAATTTGAAACTTTTTAAATATAACGCCTATGTAATTAAAAATTACCACAATCTGATGATACGTACTAAATTCATTGAGCATTTATACTATTCATTCTTAATTAATAAAAAATGAAATGCATTTTGTCTAGCAAATACAATACAGATTGATTGTGATGTCATTCAGTACATTTGATTACATTAAATGAATTAATCCAATTTAAAATTTTATTACTACAAAAACAAATGCTGCAAATAAATATGGAAGGAAAAACTCACTTCCCTATTACAAAGAGTATGGTGCAATGGAAAAATTCCTTTCAGAAAGTTATTTATTAGCAAAATAAAAAGGACTACATTAGCGAAAATCATTAAGATAAAGAAAAGTTTTAAAGTAAACATTTCTACTACATTAAGAAAAATTAACTTATAAAATAATTTGGAAGATATGCTGCCATCATTGCAAATATTTGACATAGCATTAACTATCGAATTATATTAC